TTTTTTTTCTTTTTTTTACTTTTTCTTTTTCTTGGCGCCCTTGCAGAGTTGGGCGCGGTCTGCTGGACCCCTTTTGACAGGCAGGCGTGTGCGACCCAAGCGGCTTGGCACAAATTCGCCGAGCTGCATGCCGATCCGCTGCTGAGCATTGCATGATGCACAGTGTGTCAAGCGGTGTGGGATCGGAAGTACGACGACATGACTTGCTTGTGCATCCGCCTGCTTCCCCTCGCCAAACCGCCTCGCCAAAACAAGCTTCAGGGGCCGGGCGAAACGCCAAGAAGCTTTGGTGTGCACAGCCCGTGTTTGCGCACGCCGCTGCGAGCATATATCCCGCCAAGCTCCCAAACCTTGACTCCCGGCCTCCATCATCTCTCGCCCGCTCTGCATCCCCTTCCCATTCCCTGCTTTGGAACGTTGGAGGTATGAAATTGGTGTTGCTGCTGTCGCTCGCTGCGGCGTGTGCGGCCGTACCGTCGCCCGTCGACTACTTGCTCTTCCGGCGCAGCGTTACCACGGACGCCGGTGCGCTCTCGGGCAACACATACGACTACGTCATCGTGGGCGGTGGACTGGCAGGTCTCGTTGTGGCCAACCGGCTCTCTGCGAATCCCAACATCAGCGTGGCGGTGATCGAGGCGGGTGCCTCGGGCTATGCGGACGCGGCCAAGTTCAGCGTGCCCGCCGCCAACCTGTACGACTCGTCGGTGGGCACGCAGTACGACTGGCAGTGGCAGACCACGCCGCAGTCCGGTCTCGCGGGTCGGTCGGCGCCCTGGCCAAGGGGGAAGGTGCTCGGCGGAAGCAGTGCGATCAACGGCCTGTACTACGTGCGCCCTTCGGATACGGAGCAAAACGCCTGGTCCAACCTCATCGCCGACGATGCCTGGAACTGGGATAACATGTTCGCTGCCATGAAGAAGAGCGAGTCGTTCACCGCGCCCAACGACGCCACCACACGCACCGTCAATGTCGGCTACAACGCCGCCAGCCACGGCACCGACGGACCCTTGCACGTCTCGTATCCGCTCCGAACGTACCCCGAGGTAGGGGCGTTTATCGAGTCGGCCACCAGTGTGGGCATTCCGGCATCGCAGGATCCCAACGCGGGGAACAACACGGGCGTCTTCCTCGCCACGTCCAACATCAACCCGGCGAATGCGACGCGCAGCTTTTCGCGCACCGCGTATCTCGACCCCGTCGCTGCGCGACCCAACCTCTCGGTGCTGACGGGGCACACGGTGACGCGCGTGGTGTTCAATTCGACCCAGGGCGACGAGGCGGTTGCGTCGGGCGTGCAGTTCGCCGCGTCGCGCGGGGCGGCCGTGTCCACCGTGTACGCGCGCAAGGAGGTGGTGCTGTGCGGCGGAGCGGTCAACGACCCGCAGATCCTGCAGCTCAGCGGCATTGGCGACGCTGCGCTGCTGCAGCGCGTGGGGGTTGAGCAGGTGGTGGATCTCGCCGGCGTCGGGTACCACCTGCAGGACCACCTCTCCACGGGTGTGGTCTTTAGTCCTTCGAGCGATGCCACCATGCCGCCTACTCGGATCACGGGCGATGCGGCGACGGACTCGTACGTCAACAGCGCGATCGCATACGTGCGCGGGTCGACGCTGTTCAGCGATCCGCAGTGGACTTCGCTCATCGACCAGATGCGACAGAACCGCGCCGCGAGCATTGCCGCCTACGATGCACCTTCGGCCGTCAAGGCGGGCTACAATGCCACCTACACCACGCAAGTGGAAACGCTCTTCCCCACCTCGGTGGGGCCCATCGAGCTGCTCTTTGCACTGAGCTTTGGTGGCGTGCAGGTGCAAGCTGCATTGCAGCACCCTCTCTCACGCGGCAGCATCACCGTCACCTCCACCGACGCCTTTACACCGCCACGTATCGATCCGGGCTACCTCAGCAACGATGTCGACATGGTGATTTTGCGCCAAGGTTTTAAGCTCGCTCGCCGCGTCGGGTCGACTTCTCCTTTGGCCGACTTCACTTCCGCCGAGACTGCACCCGGGGTGGGGGTGGAGACGGATGCGCAGTGGGACGAGTGGATCCGCCGCACGGTGGGCACCGAGTACCATCCGAGCAGCACGTGTTCCATGCTCCCGCGCGAGTTGGGCGGCGTCGTGGATGCCAAGCTCAAGGTGTACGGCACGCGCAATCTACGTGTGATCGACGCTGCCGTCCCGCCGGTGAGCTTCTCGGCGCATCTCATGAGTGTCACTTATGGGCTCGCCGAAATCGGCGCCGAAATGGTGCTCCAAGACTATGCGGCGGGTATGAAGAGCAACACCACCCAGGCGGCCACGGGGGGGTCGCGAGGAAGTTCGGGTTCGAGTGGCTCGAGTGGTTCCAGTGGCTCGACTGGCTCGACTGGCTCAAGAGGTGCAGCTGGCTCGAGTGCAAGTGGCGCGACCAGTGCTGCCACACGACCGACGCTCACCACTGCCCATGCCGCTGCGGCCATGATTGCTATCATCGCTCTGGCACTGCTCTAGCCCTCTCCCTTTCCCCTGCACCCACCAGCTCGTCTGGAGTTTTGGATTGTCTCACCACACGCTCTGCATCCTTACATCAATATTCTCAGCATGGACCTTTCATAGGACGCTCTTTTTTTGCGCGCAATCCCCACACCACTTTCGTTCGGCTCTGATTCGTGTGCGTGCGAGGTGCGCGTTGCGCAATCGTGGCATTTGCGAGCGATGAGCAAAGCATCCAAGCAGTGTCAGCATACGGAAGGCGGTTGAGTGTGGCGCGGGATTCGACGCGTAAAAGCGGGTTAGCGGGTTAGGGACAGGCTGGAGGTGGGACTTGGGTGACGTTGGCTTGGCATCATTCGGCGGTTGACGTGCGAGTAGGCGCCGGTACGCTGCATCGACAGCCGCCAAAAGGAAGCGCATCTATCGACGCCGCTCACCAAGCTGTCAACTCTCGCGCCTGGTGGCGCTTTTCTACATCGAGCAAGGGGTGGGGATGGCATGCACGTATGGACACGAGACGTTGCGCTTTCAAACCCCAACGTAGCTTGCGAACCTTCGGACGCGCGGGGCACTCACGTCTGAGTGCAATTTCAGCCTCGCCATGGCGACGAGCCAAGATTTGGCATTGCCGAGGATGGTGCGACGCGACGCTCACGGTCGAGATCGAGATGAGACTTGGCGACCATGTCGGTCCCAGAAGCCGCGCGTGAGTCGTGATGGTTGTGTCGAGCTCGTTGCGAAACCTTGGCGTGGTCGTCGCGTGGTCAAGCGCCGTCTCTGCTGCCCTCCTGCGCCCTTAGTGCACACAGCCCGACGCACGCCTGCACACTCGCAATCCTCATCTTGACCCCACCGGTGTGAAGAATCACCCGTGCATCGCAAAGAAAGCCAGGCTGGATGAGCGACCACACTGTCTCGTTCCAGGTGCCGGCGCCGAGGTGTGCCTCTACCAAGGTCCCGTGCTGAGCAAACCAACAAAGCCAAGCAAGCCAGTACAAGCCGCGATGGGCGTGCAAAGTTGGACGCCGGGCGTCATCTCCATCGTCACCCCACCCCCTGCAACCCTCACACATGGCCAGACACTGCACACTCGCGCGCTCACTCGATGCGTTGAAATCATGCATGCATTGCAAAAAAAGTCTCTTGGCGCGACGTTAGAGCACGGTCTCGTTGCTCTCGTACCTGCGGTACGTGTACCCCAGGAACGCGAGATCCTTGGACCCCACCCCCACATCCGCACCCTGTGGCGTCTCTGGCACATCCTGATAATCCTCGGTGGGAAAGTAGCTCGTATCCGTGACCGACTTGAGCTGTGGAATAAACGGCGCATCAATCTGCCGAATCGTCGCCCAATCGACTCCGGCAAAGAAGGCATGTTGCTTGATCTCGCTCGCCGAATTCCTACCCAGCCGATTCTCCGGTGCGGTGATCAACCGACGAATCATATCCTCCGCCTCGGGCGACAGATGAATGTCATCCGGAAACTGCAGCGTCTCCCTCCACGCCAAAATCTTTCGATACGTATCGTGCGCATTCTCCGAACAGAACGGAGGATAGCCACACAGACACTCGAACATGATCGCACCCAGACTCCACCAGTCGCACTCGTTGCCGTACCCCTGCTGCAGGAAGATCTCGGGCGCAATGTAGTCCGGCGTACCCACGGTCGAGTACGCCAACTTGCGCCGATTGGCCTTCCACGTAGCAATCGTATCCTTCGAACTGAGCGTAAGGTTGATCGAGTTGACCGCGACCGAGTTGCGTCCCGTCTGTGCCGGGTTCTGCCCCGAGGTGCCTTCGAACAGCCGCTGGTAGTAGGCGGAATCGTGCTGCTTGTGGAATCCGGTGGAGAGGCCAAAGTCGGACAGCTTGATGTGTCCCTTTGCATCGATGAGGATGTTGTCCGGCTTGATATCGCGATGAATGAACCCGAGCTTGTGGATTCCCTCGAGCGCCAGCACGCACTCTGCCATATAGAACCGCGTGACATCCTCACTGAAAGTGTCGTACTTGATGAGCATGGTCATGAGGTCGCCGCCGGGGAGGAACTCCATGAGCAGATACAGATATGCGGTGTCCTGGAACGAGTAGTAGAGCTGCACGACCCAGGGCGAGTTGGACTCGGCGAGCACGTCCCTCTCTGCCCTTACATGCGCCAGCTGATCCTTTTTAAACATCTCGCTCTTGCGCAGCGTCTTCATGGCGTAGATCTTGCCGGTGTCGGTCTTTTGCACGAGGCGCACCTCGCCAAACGCACCTTTGCCGATCACCTTGACCGTGCGGAAGTCGTCGAGGCCGAGGCGCGTCCTGCGCAGACGCAGAAAGTTGGACTCGCGGCGGCCGAGCTGTGCGAGCTGGCGCGCCTTGCGCTCGTCCGAGAGGAGCTGTGCGTCGGGCGGATTGGTGAGGCGGTCCTCGAGCTCGGCGGCGCGCTTGATGCGCTCGACCGCCTGCTCGACGTACACCTTGTAGAAGTTTTCGAGCTTGAGCTTGGCGCCCGTCGCCGCCTCGATGGTGGATTTTTGCATGCCGTTGGTGGAGCGCTCAAAGTAGACGTAGTCTGCGGGCTTTTCGATGGCGGGGTTGGGAGAGGTGGGCGTGGTTGGCTGTGCGTACTGTTGCTGTTGCTGCTGCTGCTGTTGTGCCTGTTGCTGTTGTTGTTGCTGCTGCTGGTAGTACTGTTGCTGTTGCTGCTGTTGCTGCTGCTGCTGCTGCTGCTGGGAGTAGGTCTGCGCCTGACCGTAGGGCTGTGGGCTTCGGGGAGCGTTGTTGATGGGACGGGCCGAGGGGGAGGGGGAGCGGTTGATGGGGGAGGTGCTCTGTGCGCGCGGATAGCCCGCGTTGGGAGCGTGGAGGTTGTTGTGCTGGGAGGCGGCGATCTGCTGCTGCTGGAGGTGTGCGGCCTGCGACATGGCGGGATGCTGTAGCTGGGAGGGCGGACCCTGAGCCTGTGCGGCGATGGCGGCCTGGTGGATCTGCGCCTGGTATTGGGCTTGTTGTGCGTAGGCTGGTTTCAAGCAGCGAAAAGGTCAGCGAAAGGTGCGATGGGAAGAAAGCGAGCTTAAGGCACAAACTCACCCTGGCTCTGGGCAAAGCCGCCCTGACCTGCTGCGCTGAATCCGTAATTGAGGGGGCCGTGGTTGTTGGGGATGTTCATGTTGTAGCCCATGGGAGCGGCGTACTGTGCGCCGTAGGCCATCTGGTTTGTGGGTTGCTGTACGTGTGGGAGGGAGCGTGCCTGTTGTGGAAGGGGCGAGTTGCCCGAGTTGGGCTGTGCGCCATTGCGATACGCCATGGCAGAAAGAACAAAAGCGAGGGGGCGAGATGAAGGTGGGGAGGCAAGCTGCGTTTGAGGTGAGGCGCTCGCTCAGTCGGCCGCTTCCTTTGCGCTGCGCTGGCAAATTCCCACTCCCTCTCACTCTCTCTCTGTCGCCGCGCCTCGCCAGCAGCGCCACCAACGCGTCCAATTCAGCTCGAAAAGCGCAATCGCCGCTCGCCGCTCTCAGACCAACACTCGCACGCCGCGCAACCCATCGCCCGGATCGGCTTTCCATCGCTGCCCGATCTGAGCCGCCATCCCATCCACTTCGCTTCGCTACTTGACAGCTCCGAGCGAGGCCCCTCCGCATTCACCCTTGCCTCACGAGCAGCGCCCTCACCATGTCCATTCCCTCGCGCAAATGCACTGCGCATGTCTGCATCGGCGGTCCCCACCAAGTGTGTGCTGTGCTGGCGAGCCTTGGCGAGCCTTGCTTGGGTGAGCGAGTTGGGGGCAGCTCCGATGGGCACCGCCATCCTACCGCCCCTCATGTGGGCGATTCCCAACCGATGCGCAAATGAAGCTTCGCATCACGCTTTTCGTCACGCATCTTCGCACACCTCAACCATGCTCAGCCGCTGCGATACAGCGTGACTTCGGGTTGCTGCAACCCACCCTTCCAACCCAAGCACACGCGCGCGCCAGATGCCAACCTAAGAACAAAGGGCTTTTTTTT